CCAAACACTATTATTGTCATCCACATAACCGCCACACACCTCCACCCACCATAGCCCAACCCCCAACCAACCACTCACCACTATTCCAAACTGAGATGGATATTCCAATTCATACCAACCAAACGTGTGGTCAAATTCCATTAAAATTACTTTATAATTCCACCAAATTTCATTATGTGAACCAATCGCCCCCCCTAAATATTTGAATGACTAAAGTCGGTCAATGATATATAATAATATAAGAAGATCATCGTAGTTTCCATAGACCTTAACAATTCAAACAAGAAGAATGCAAAATAAATTAAGTCAATACGTTTTTCCTATCTTAATGCTTGTGATTGCCATGTTTCTAGATTGAATGAACAAGATTAAATGAAAATAATACTTTTAGTTAAATATGAATAAGGTTTTTTTATGGCAAAGCTTATACTTAATCAAATAACTATCAAATTTAGAATTGCTGAAACCATTTCTTGTAAAATACAATAAATAAATCTGATTTATAGAATGATGATTCGAACAAAAACACTTGCAAATCAAAACCAACTTCTAAATTTTCCATTTTGGATAACCAATTTTCAGAACATATTATTTGGGAACCAGTTTCTAAAATTTCTCAATTCGGGAACATGAATTTGATTACCGATTCCAAATTTGGAAATTGGTTCCTCAAAATTAAGGTTTTGAAAAACGGTTTCTAAAATACAAAAAAAAAAAACAAAATGATTCATTTTGATGTAGGATTACTATTCATACCCCTTACCACTCACATGCCACCTATTTTTTACCCCTTATTACATCACTCACTTACCATCTCCTATAAAAGGGTATTAATAAAATTCATCTTTGTGTAATTTACATTTTAACAATTAAAATATAATAAAATATGTTAGATAAATATTATAAATACAAAGAAGACAATTTAAGTCATGGAATTAACTACTGATTGAAATATATTCATTATAATTTATAGCAATTGATAACTTGTTACTTTTGGATCGGTTAGCTCATATAATATGTCAAGGAAAACATGGATGATAGAGGTGTTTTACTTATGCCGCCAATGGGGGTATAAATGTAAAACTCACAATTCAATTGCCTCCTATTTAGGTTATCTATATTATTTTATAAAGCAAATTTAGCAAAAGTCTTAAAGTCTTAAAATACTAAATGACCAAGATACCCTTTATATACTTTTTCACCCCCTCCTCTCCTCACATGCACTCACCCCCTCACATACACTTACCCTCTCACAACCGATTTTTTTTAAATTATAATTTTAAATTTACACTTTATACCCCTATAATTAGTTAATTAATTTACTTTACGTTTTTTACTTTTAAATGTTTCATTTTAAACTCTTATCGAATTAATATACATAATCGTATATCAATTAAAACATATTTAAAAAATACATTTTTATTTTAACAAGTTATACCATTATAATCGTCTCTTTAATACCTTCGAAATGAGTCCAATATTGAATAGTTTTTTACTTAATTATATTATTATATATTATATATACTGTGAAAAAATATTTTTAATATTTACGATTTATACTTTTATAGTTATATATATATATATATATATATATTATATATTTTGGGGTTAGGCTGTCCAAATTACACTATATAATATGTTCTGAATTAATATATTCTTGGGTTTTTTTGAAATATATATATATATATATATATATACATGTATTAATTCAACCTTAATCTGAGTTTCTGAACAAAAAAGATGGTAAACAGTTGAAATTTCATTCTAAAACTCATCCTTTTTGGTCTTTTCATGACTTATGATCTGTTAAATTTGTAGTTTTCTTTATTGGTTTTGAGTGTTTATCTTAAAACTCAAGTTTCTTGGTTCTTTGCTCTTGGTGTAAATCGAACACATTTGTGGAGTCGTTTAAATATATTGAATTTTAAATATATTGGATTTTAAACTGTCATACAATTTTTTTCATCGATAATCTGTAATTGGAACCATAACTTTTATTTATTCAAATTGTATTAATATGTAAAGCCCAAGTGTAACTTATATCATCGTTAAATTTTATCTTATAAAACCAATGGAACTTTAAAATCATTAAAATCATGGCTCCCGCCATATTGCGCGAATACACAACTAGTCATCATAATTCATAAGTACCACATGGGGAAATTTTACCTTTAAACCTCCTCCTAAAAAATTATATAAAATAGCCAAGTCCACATTGCAAGGCATTTTTCCTGAAGTGGGCTAAAAAAAACAAATTGAGACACACAAGTTCACAACTTGTGGCATCATAAGCACACGTTCACGTTCATGTTCGTACCTCATTAAATTTCGTACCCTTAAATTATACCACATAGGGCCCGATGAGTAGGGTTGTGAACGAACACAAACAAATGTTTGTTCATGTTTGTTCGTTTAACTTAACCAAACAAACAAACAAACACGAACGGTAAACGAACAAAAATCTTTGTATTCGTGTCCGTTCGTTTAGAAATCAGGTGTGTTCGTTAACATGCTAAACGAACATAAATGAACGGTTCTAACTTAAATAAATATTCTTTGAATTCAGACTAAATAAATAAAATATTATATATTAAATTTAATATATAAACGAATGAATATGAAAACGAACTTTCACGAACACAAATAAACGAACGAGACTCTTGTTCATGTTCGTTCGTTTAACTAAATGAACAAAAAAATTGTATTCATATTTATTCATTTATTAAATAAACGAATATATACAAACTTCCCGCCGAACGGTTCACGAATGGTTCGCTGAACGTCCAATTCGTTTATAGCCCTACCAATAAGAACTGATAACTGTAACTTAAATCCGCACCAATCAGTTTCATCACATAGTTAAATATAACTCTGACCTTGATCTTTTAGAGCCAAAATAATCAGATTCTAAAAAAGAAAAGAAAATTTTGCAAAACAACTAAATTTTAGAAAATTACCTAACTATTACTCATTCTAACCATTTTACTGTAAGTAATTATTTGATTAACCGTCAAGAAGCTCAGACAATATGGAACTCATCCGCTTGTCCATTAAGTACTTTTTTGGGCAGTAATTAGTATCATAAGCATTAGCGTTCGAGTCTGCAGGCATCGCGGCATGCCTAAGAATCGAACACTGGAGATCTATGAATCGGTTGAAAACTGTCAACTAATCCTAGTAAACCAAACGAAACGAAACAAAGCATTCTCGGTATATCTCACTCGAAAGTAGGGTATGAAACAACAACGGAGTAAACCAACTCAAACCAAACATTCTCGGTGTAAATAAGGTCTGGAACAAGAAGATAATTCAACATAAACACACTTTGAGAAAGTAAAAACTGAAGCATAGAAAAGCAAATTGCACAACTAAAACTAAATGATTCAACTGCTAAAGTGAAGCATCACTAACCTTCAAAAATATGTTTGGTTTAATGATCATCCATCAGCATGAGCATCCTCCAGACTGGGGTTGCTGCTGGGATCCACTTGAATTGCTGGACTTGAGATTTACATCCACCATGTCTTCCTGCTTTGTTGAAGACGATAAAGCTTCCATTCCTGGTAATGCTGAAGCTATCTTTCGAAACAAAGCCTGAAAATTGTTCATTTTTGCTACATTTTCGTCAAGATTCAACTACTATAGCTCTAAAAGGTATTGCATTTGTAGCTTCAAGTCACCAAGCAGGGATGTTTTGAAAAAGAATTGTCGATCCAAAACTATTTAACCCGATTCAGGCAAAAAGGACCCATTCAATATTCCATCTGTTTCCGAAGTTTGAGTTTCAATAATCTAAGGGGCCATTTACCAAACGCCTACCTGGCTAAGCACTTACCAAGTCACATTACCTTACAGGATGAATATGGTAAGGACCAAGAATCTTACCCGGTAAGAGCGAGACAAGGACCAAGAGTCTTATCCGGTAAGTGAAGGCGGCGACTCTTACCATGATAAGAGCTTATCAGGTAAATTATTGTATACGGTGCCGTTTTGGTGGACAAAAATCTTACTCGGTAAGTAAGTAATAGTATTGAATTTTACCCATAAGTACTTACTAAGTAAGTTTTTGGTAAACGGAACCTAAGTTAAACAACTCTTTCTACATGGAAGGAGTGTTGGTTGCAGGAAAATCCTGCACCATGGTGATTTAACCAATCTGTGAGTGTCATTTCCATTGAAATTATTGGTTACAACTGTTTTATCACCACACGCCAGCAAAATTAAGATCACGATTCTCTCACATCTTTTTGTGTGTCCACATGTGAGAGCAAGAAAAATCATTTTGAACAAATCTTATTGATTTGTTGTACCATGTCAACAAGATGATATGATACATGTTTGTAACCAGTATTTTCTCCTTCAAAAGTTGGGACGTACAAGAGCAGTATCAGTATTCACCTTTATATTGAAGCCCGCCTTGGCACTAGTTTCAATAAACATTACATTAAAATCACGAGCTTTAGCTTCCCCTTCCTCTATAGAAACTTGCCTACAAAAGATTCATCAAACGGATGAGTGTAAGCTAAAAATGAATTTAACTAACTTGAAAAGGACACTTGCTAACGTATAAGAAACAAAAAGTTTATGAGCCAAGCATTGATAGGAACTAAAACAGGCTTCACCAGATTTGGAGTAAAGCCCAGCTGCAAGCAGCCCTTCACATTTTAAAAATAAAACTAAAAGTAACCGCGTATTACCTCTTATCCACAAGGTCAGTTTTATTTCCAACAAGAACAATTATAACATCACTGCCTCGCTCAGTGCGGACCTCCTCAATCCATTTTGCCGTGTTCATAAATGATTGTCGGCCTAACCCATCATACAAGTGGTTGGGAATACATATATCAGAAAAATGAAGAAAGTAATTCAAAAAAATTGTGCTACTGAAAAGAAAGATGACATTTTCATGTAGGACAAAAAGAAAACATTTTGATATTTGATCGAGCTATTCAGTGTGTAATAGTCACAGGTAAGAGAGTACCAACATATAAACATATAGTAGTTCGTGTCTACTAGGATTGACACATTCCTCAGCATGAAAAAAGAATCTGTAGAAAAAACGGGAATAACGTAACTCGAAAGGTGAAGGGATAAAACATACTTGCAACATCAAAAACAATGACGGCAACAGAGGAATCCCTGATATAACTTGGAATGAGACTCCTGAACCTTTCTTGTCCAGCTGTATCCCTGCAAACATACGCAAAATTGACAAATTAGTGTCAGAAGATTGAACAACTACTGGGTTAACATGATTGAAAGAGTAAGGATCAAACTGATTCCAAAACAAATGTTAAATTCACTATCATTAAAAGGAACCAACGTCTTTCTCTTATGGTTGGTAGATTAAACAAATTTATAGAAATTAAATGAAGAAATATGACACTCATACAGCTAAACTTGGGAGATTCTAGAACCTTCAAATGAATTTCTAGATAGTTTAAGAGAATTAGACAATAGCCATACACTCAGGCTAGCTCACTTTCTTCTACTCCAAACACATATTCACTATGTTCACTCAAGTGCTGGACCCCAAAATCTTTATGTTCTCGGATAAGTTTTAAAGAACTCGGATTCAATCGTTTGACTGTGAGATGAGCATCCAATGATCCAAACATCAACTGAGCTAAGATTATAGAGGTCTCACTGTCTATTGCTCCTACATTTTGAATACCCTTTTCAAATTTTCCTTGACACAAGATAATGGTAAAAGTGGAAACCCTAAAAATATCCTTTACTAAAGATGTCCATCGTCAATATCAGTGTAACCATGTAAAATGTTTATAGAGTTCAGTCCTTGATAAAGAAGTGACTAGAAACCACATACTCAGATGAAAGAATATTAATGTACTGTGTTCTTCCTGCTTACAATATCCATAGTTCAGTTGACTTCTAGAACAGAAGACAAGAAACTCAATGTAATAAACAGCCACTCGGTGCTCAGTAAGTCACTGGAGTATTTCTCTTTCCATTTCCTCTTTATAGTCTATGGGCTAAAGGATTTGTTTGAACTCAAATCTTTTGCTACTTGGAATTTGGATAATTAGTCAAAAAAGGTTGGGGTGTGGAATCTTTTTGAGGAGAAGATTAATACGACTATTGACAGAGCAATTGATTACCTCCGGTGTTTATCTATGGGATGTCAACTTACAAAAAACCTTTTTCTTTGAATATAAGTAAAGCATGTGTCACAAAAATATGAGAACTATACAACAGTAACAGATATCAAACAGAAAAAACCTTCTGCTAATATTTTCTATAAAATCAATCGCTGTAAATCAGCTGGCCCTTGAAGAGCAACAATCAATAAAAAATAATAATGGACATCCGGCAAAAGAATAGTTGAGAAACCAGGAACATGTCTGAAATCATACAATGTTTTCACAAGCTTCAAATAGTTAAAGACCTGAGAAATCTACACTGTACTTATAAATTCAGTTCATGGTCAGCCTATGCTAAAATATGTGACAAACTTGGTGTCCAAAACTACATTTATAAAGACAAAAAACTACTATTAAAGAAACATTGGCAATGCCACAGCACGGTCAGTGGATAAAATGTATCTCCAATAAGACAAGAGATGATAACGCAAATTGACTCCAAGTGATATCCAACTCAAGGCAAGCTATTACAACTGCGACTTTTATCAATAGCTCGTAGAGAAAGAGTATATATACTAACTTAAACAATATCAACAAGAAATGTACAATCTTACCAAAGCTGCAAGCGTACTGTTCGATCCTCAAGATACATAGTTTTTGATAAAAAATCAATACCAATGGTAGCCTGGATAATGGATAACAAATGAATAAACATCAGAGAGAAAGAAGAGAAACACAAAAAGAAATTGGAGATAGAATACAATAGGTTTGATAAGAAATTCCAAAAAATATATATGAGGCAAATGCAAAAGACATTCTAAGCCGCAAGGGTAACCAAAGGGCTCAACTTTCAAATAGAAACTCATCAAATGCAAATTGCCATATCTTTGGATCACATTTTTTTGGAAGGGTGTCCCGGGCTATGTTTGGACTCATTCCGACAAATTTTGACGGCAAGAAATCAGCCCTGATAAACTAAGTGGCCACAATTGTTGTGTACGTCTGTAATCGAACCCTGGGCAGATGGAATATTCCACCACATCCCCCAGGACCTCAACAACTACGCCACAACCCTTGTGGTTTCTTTGGATCACATCTTTGGTGCTATGATGTTCATTTTCCTTTATAACCAGATGAGCTAACTAACTGTACAGCTGTTATCATATAGTCTTGTTAAATTAATTCCATTAGTGATGTCAACTTGTCAAGCAAAACACCTAAAACTATATGGCATGCCCTATACTCTTTATTTTTATCGGTGCAAAAGGCGGACTCCGTTTCCTATCGTCGTTTCACAGAAAAAGTGAAAAGGATATATCCACCAATCCCCCTCTCGCACATCTAGACACAAACAATTTCAAGAAATCACATGTGGAAAGGACTGATTGAACAGTTCTTTGTCATCCCTACACCTTTCTCAGTGAAAAGCTCTGCCTGGCCACTCCCTTGAATGTGAATAGATCCCCATTATATAAATAAAATTAAAACATAAACAGAGTTATCCTTCTGGAAATGAAAAAATAGCATGCTTGACAATAAAAATTCTGGCTATTTTCTAGATTTCAATGATATAAATAAATATTGCTTAAGAGGTGCATACATTTGCATTTTGTTTTTGGGGGGGGGGGGGGGGGGGGGGGGGAAGAGAGGAGAGGGGAGAGACAAGGGTTTCTAAAAATTCTAAAATGCCCTTTAATTAAATTTTAAGTCATNAGAGGGGATAGTGTCATTAACACTGGACTCAAGGACAGTAAGCATTAAGGAGGTGTATAAAGGTGGCAGTAATGCAGGTCTAGAAAGTAGAAGGAGGTTAACTGTGTTATTCCTCCTCCATCTTTCACAAATTCAGAAGCTAAGCCCATGTTTGGCAACCATAATTTAGCTTGTTTTTTAGCTTATTAAAAAGGCCATTTGGCTAGCCATAAGCTAGCTTTTTGAAAAGTTACTTCAAGTAGCGTTTCAATAAGCTCCATCAGTTTTTTTCCAAATATGCCCCTTATATTTTTCCAATTAATTTTGCAACGTCCTTTTAGGTCATTTTACATTGTCATCCAACTTATCAGCTGTTTTTTTTACCAAACAAGACTAGCTTTTCGGCTAATAGCTAGTCAGCTAGCTTACCGACCGATAGCTAGTCAGCTAGCTTATCAGCTAGTTAACTAAATATAGCATAAGAGGCAAAAAGATGTTTCTATCATTTTCTCTCCAATTAATGTTCAGGGTTGAGTAATCCTAACATCTTGTGTGCTTCTCCAGTTTTTGCCTAGTTGATTTCCTTTGGTATCTCATCTATGATTGTCCCCCACAAGGGTCGTCTACTTTTTGTATTTCATTCCCTATTCCCTTTTGCCTATGCATTCCCAATGACCATAAATATTGGTACTTTTAACCGTTTACAAATTCAATAAGAAGTTAATCCTGGCCAGTGGTGCCGCTCCACGTTATTGAAAGCAACTTCATCGAGCAATAATCAACTAACACCAGATGTCTCGGTAGATGATGGAGCCATTACAATACAACTAGCTACATGTAAGTAGTTGTACCACACAAGCACATAACACCTCCTAGCCCCAGACATGAGAATGCTTTTTTCAGGTAGTATGTCTATTTAGCTTAAGCTAGAGTAACCAAAATAGTGAATGTGTCCTCTTAGTTCCTCAAAATCTGTACTCCCACTCCTAGTGCAAAAGGGATACACGTTGATTTACAATGTCAAACCCGACGCGCACTTGAAGTTTAAATTGACATGGAACTCTTACAAACTTCAACACCAAGGTTTTTCTATGCCATGTCCTTTTATGTGAAGTGCGATGCAGTTATAAATTTCTTGTAAAGTTGAAAAATGATCTTTTTGACCACAAAACTGATCGCTTCTCTACAACCAAGGTAGCAACTAAGACGAGATCAGCTCCGAGTCAAAATCAGATCAATCACCCAAATAATTTAAAAAAAACCTCTCAAAACATATTATAAATCAAAAGGTCGTTCTCTAACAACAGCTGCGTAATAATTAGCTTGATCAAGCCAGATTACCTGATAAGTGTTGTCAAACTTATCATACATGAATCGAGTGATGATGCTCGTTTTTCCAACTGATTGATCTCCTAAGAACACGAGCTTGTACTTCGCTAGAGCCGACACCGGAGCCATAGATGTGAAACTAATTCGAATATAACAGTAAATTCAAATAAATAGATCAAAGAAGGAAGATTTTCCGACGAATATTTAGAGATCTCGCCGGAAAATCTTCGAGATCGGGCCGGAAAGAGGTTCAGATTCCCAAGTATATGCGGGAAGGGGGGAAAGGGCCTGCTTGTATTGAATCCGTGTCGGCAATTATCGCCCGCACTTAACGCCGGTTTGAACTAAACCGGTTGCATTTGACATTTCCAAGAAACATAACGACTTGACCCGAGTCAAACAAAATTGGCCAAATGTACAATCATTTGGTAAGGGGTGGATGGTAGGCACTCAAAAATCAAAAATGTTTGTTGACTACCTTAAATTTTATATTTTCATCCTTATTTTATATGGTTTTTTTTTTGTCTCACATGGTTAGGGTTGTAAACGAACCGAACGAACATAAACGAAGACTTGTTCATGTTCGTTCGTTTAACTTAACCGAACAAATGAACGAACACGAACAATAAACGAATGAAAATTTCCGTGTTCGTTCGTTTAGAAATCAGGTGTTTTTGTGTTCGTTTATGTTCGTTCTTTAACATGCTAAACGAAAGTAAACAAACGAACATAAACGAACGGTAAATGCACGAACATAAACGAACGGTAAATGCACGAACGTTCACGAAAATAAATGAACGAACAAAACTCTCGTTCATGTTCGTTCATTTAACTAAACGAACAAAAAAATGTGTTCATGTCCGTTCATTTATTAAATAAACGAACATAAATGAACTTTCCGCCGAGCGGTTCACAAACGGTTTGCTAAATGTTCGGTTCGTTTAAAGCCCTACATATGGCCATATGTTTCCCTCTCCCAAGTCCCATCCAACATGCCCCCACGGCCCCACCCCATTAATTTTCTGGATCCGCCACTGGTCTTTGGTTAAAATTTTCATATTATTTTTTAAATACAATAGAATACAAAAACCCTTTCTTAGCATGTGTTTGAATCAGCTCGTAAACATTTCGACTAATCTCAAATTTCCTAAATATCATTCAGGAAAATTCTTAACGGCGTTATAGTTTTTAGTGACCTCTGAGGATATTTGACAAAACCAAGAAAATCACTTTTTGTGCCACGATATTTGACAACTTGGTTTATAGATTGATGTGAAAACTCACATTCATATGATCCAGACAAACTAGCCGTTTGCAAAAAATAGGTGAAACTCATGTATAATTAGGGATGGTGATTTGGCCTGACCCGGTGGGGAACCCGGTTCACCCGACCCGGACGGGGACGGGGATTCCCCGCTAAAACGGGTACCGGGGCCGGGGATCCCCGGTAGAGGCAAACCGGGGTTGGGGCCGGAGCCGGGTATTGTATCCCCCGACCCGCCCCGTACCCGGTATATATATAAAATTATAAATATTAAATATTTTTATTATTTGGGCTGCTTTATATTATATAATTGGGCTTTTAATCTTTTATAGACTTGGGCTAAGGCAGTAAGGCTAACCGGCAGAGTGCTCCCAATCCCAAATTCACAATCTCAATTCTCAGTTTCTCAGTTCTCACATCATCATCCACGAGACCACGACCACGAAGACCACGATTTACAGCCGTCGCCACTCGCCCGTCAGCCACTCAGCCGGTCGACCGTCGACCTCGACCACCTCGTCGTCGTCACTCACGCCTGCGGCCTGTCACCGTCTCGACTTCTCCACAGCACAGACCCTCACGCCTGCGGCTTGTCACCGTCACCAGGCACCACCACTCCAGCCGGCACTCGACATTCGACAGTGAGTCACCGTCCGGACATCCCTCGTCTCATCTATCATCTTGCTCTTCTCCGTCTCTGCCATCGAGGTCAGGGCCTTAAAAAGTTAAACCCAATTGCCAATTTTTCAATGTCTTTCTAGTTAGTAGTTACTTATTTCATTATTTGTCTGAATGAATGATATTTAGGGCATAATTAGGAAATCTCCACGTTTTGAAATGGAATTACATATATTTAGTTCAATGATGAAGTAAATATCATCAATGTGTGTAGGACAGTGTGTTTGCACTTCGGTTCTTCATCAATTAGGTCATAATTTTATTTCCATTCATAACAACTTATATAGCTTTATTTCTATGATTACATTGTTATTGAATTGTTACTTTACTTTAATGTTTATTGAATTGTTAGTTTGTTACTTTACTTTATTAGGTGAGGCAATTTTCTGATGGATTAATGAATTATGTTCTGAATGTTTGCTGTGATGTAAACTACTCACTAGCCTAGTCCTAGAAAGTTTGAACTCAGATCCCCTTTGGCATTTGATACTTCCCTGGATGAACTTGATTTGGTTTGTGTTTTTTTTTTTTGGGTCTGCTTTACTGTGTGGTCCGTGTGTATGCAGATTTTTTTTATTGACAGCACGGGACAAGGTAGGAAGGTGAAAGAATTTATGAACGGGTATTATGTTTTAATTTGATATGCGTAGTTTAGTAATTTACCGATCTATAGGTAACATCTATAGGTTTTCTATATTAGTAGATAAAGGTTTTAATTTGATATGCGTAGTTCAGTACCAAAATAAGTAACATCTATAGGTTTTTCTATTTTAGTAGATAAAGGTTTTAACAGTCTCGTCTGTATGCAATTTCAGATATATGAAACAAAAAGAGGTGATGTATTGCGATGTTTGGAAGAAAATGAAAGTAGGATTGCTCTTACTTCGGATATGTGGACAGCCGGTAACCAAAACAAAGGTTACATGGCACTAACAGCACATTACATAGATGCCAATTGGAAGTTACAAAATCGGATTATCAGGTTATTTCCTTTTTTAGTATTTTGTGCTATTTTTATAATTCAATGTTAATATTCTCATTTTAATATATTC